TTAAGCCCCAGTAGAAGAAAGTGGCTTCCAAGTTAGCACACAGAGAAAAGTGAAACAAGTTTAGTTCCTTGAGAATACAATGAAATTGCTTCTTTGCAACATTCTCTGGTAGAGGATGGAACTACCTGGAACTAGTGGAATGATCAAATACTTTCAATATATTTTTGAATACAACAGGTATTGTCAAGATACACCTCTTCAGAAGTTCATAAGAAAAAATATAACCACTGATTCCAGAAAAATGCCAAGAGCCTTAGGAGACTATCAGCCCCAGTGTCTATTCCTAGAGCATATTGGAATAAGGAGAAAATGCCTCAATAATAGGTTTGCTAATATAGAAAATGGGCACAATAACAAACTTGTAACTGCAGGAAAGTTTGCTTATTCGGAGAGAAAAGGCATTTAATTCATAAAATTTTTTATTTCTTCACTTCATCATAAGAAAGGTAAGGATTAAGAGGGGAGCAAAATCATGATGCCAGCCAACATGGTTTTATTGAAAAGATATTCTGTCAAACAACCTTAAATTTTACCCTTTGTATGAATAATCACAGCAAACTACTTCTTTTTTTTAAGGTACTTAATCTGAATTGTGTGGCATCCTAAATAAAATAAAAATACCCAGCTAAGACTGTATAAGTGAATTACAAGTGGACTAAATGAAAGAGTTCATATTTAGTAATTATGTCAGCACTATATCTGAAATAATTTTACATTGTTCTCAGCGAAAGCAAAGTCAGAGGAAATAACCCTAAAAGCATCAGTGCTCGTGGAATGGCCACTAATGAAGGGAACTTAAGTGAGCAGGATCACCTGGTTCACTGCACTCGCTTCCTGAGAGCACATTGTCCTGCACATATTAACATGCAATGAATGACTGCAAAAAACATATGTAGTTACCAGTCAAAGAAAATAGTTTATGCTGAATCTTAAAAGGCTCAATCGTTTCAATTCTTGAGATAAAAAAACAAGCTGAGCAGGTTTCACAGCATAAAGTATGAGGCCATACTGAAAGGCTCTTTTATCTCGAGGATAAACAAATAAAGACATCAGTATCTAGACACAACATTTTAAAACCTACCTTATTTCTCATTTGAATTTACCTCGCACTGAAATCAATGGACAACTGAAACGTGCTAGCAGTGCAGGAGGTGCCCCTGCCTCTTGAAGTTTTCCAATCGAAACACATCCCTTCAGTACTTGTTAACTGCCAGCAACATGATCGGGGTGCAGGGGAAATGCAGGAACTGTGGTACATAAACCATAAGGCTACAGAAGCTGCTGGGACCATTTGGATTTTATAGCTCACAACAAAGACAGAAGGTTGTTTGGCTGCTTTCACACCACAGCAATGTTTTGGGGAAACAGAGCAGCCTGTGCTTTCTTCTTTATAAATGTTTCTTCCTGGGGCTTTCCTTATCCAACAGTTGACTCTTCCTCACATAAACAGGCATGAGTATAAACAAATATAGTGAGGAGAGATATATTTTTACTGCTTCAGCAAGGCTGCTATGTGGTAAATCTTCCTACAGAAGCCTATCTACTCTTTTCTAAATAACCATGACTAACCCGAAGTGGTCAGAAGTGCATGGCATCATGTTAAATACTACCATTTTTGCAATCTGCCATGAGTAGAAACCAGGCATACTCTCACCATATTTTGGGGAAAACTGAAACTTGATTTTAGAGGCATTTCTTCCAAGTAACAGCCTCCTGAGCATGCTGCTAAGTTTCAATCTGTCATAAATACCTTTGTACCAATAGTAGATCCTCTACATTTTTTTTTAAATACTTGATAACAATCTTGAATATCCAGACATATTCAGCATATTTACTCTGAAATCAAGTACTTTCTTCACTGTACTTACTTCAGGCTCCCCAGTCTCTCCGCCTGACTATCTGCAGAAGTTGATCTCCACTTGTAGCTTAAGTGTATGAAGCTGGACTTGAAATAAGGACAAAAAAGCCACTCCATGATTAATTAATATCACATTTGCAAAGAACATAAGATACTTGAAACAAGATAAAGCATGAAATATCCTAGTAAAAACACAGAATTTATAAATAAGCAGAGAGTGTACACCAGGACTCTGCTCCACTCTTCCTTGCAGGATAGACAGCAGGCAAGAAAAGAACATCTGAAAGAGCTGCCATACCCGACATCTGTCTGTATGTCAAACCACATCCAATGGCTGGAAACCACACTCAACTCAACTTTAAACTTTTTCAAAGCTTACTACCATGTAGGATCCAGTGCTAAGCAAAAAAAAAAAAAAAACTCAACTGTGTCCTTGCAGAGAGAGGACATTAAGATTAGTTATCCTTCAAATGAAATTTAACCAAGAAGGTACCTCCTTTAGCTAATTTAAACTGTTGCACAGTGCTCCTAATGAAAGAAATATTTAATGTAAGTAATTCTGTCAGAGCAAACACAGATATTAAAATCATCTTTTATGAAGACCTTACTTAAAATAAACCTAGAAAGCTAGTTCCTGTTAGAGCGAGGGAAAAACAACACAATCAGTTCTACAAAGTTTTGATTACTAAAGAAACTGGCACAAACCATTTTGCTCTGATGAAACAAATACTTCTAGACAAGCAATTAATAAAATGGCTTTTTCTAATACACAAAAACATCTCTCCATGGGAGCTTGAGTTCCACCGTTTCTTGTTTGCCCAAACTTGTCCCTTTACCATGTTTTATCATGTTGTAGACACGCTGCCAGTTTTTTTTACTGACATACTAAACAATAGACAAAGCTCTCTTTCATCAAGCTTTCCACTCCAATCGCATACCAGGCAACTAAACACATGGATGGTAGACACTACAGAGCCCTTAAAATCCGCAACGTCTGCCTTAAAACAGAAATTCCTAATACCTGCTCAACAAATCTCTTAGTAAAATATAAATACAGAGAATCTCCACATAAACCAGCAATATAAAGTTTTATTATTACATTAAATCTGTATTTAATACTTGATTAGTGCTTCCCTCTAGCTTCCCCCATGGTTTTAAGTTGAAATCATAATACAAACTCAGTTATCTAAAGAGCTAAAAAAAGACATTTTTACAGTAGATCAAATATGTTAGAAGAGTTCTTTTGTTTCCTTTCAGATTGATATAGCACACACTGGAAAAAAAAAATACAGCCCTTCCTCTAATCAGACATGTTGCTAGCAAGCGTTACTGAAACCAAGACAAATGTTCAATACTTCACCTTTTCAAAGAAAACCGTCTGCAAAAAAAAAAAAAACTTTGGCAACAATATAAAAGTTTGAAAAAACGAGTCAAAAACAGTTTGAGCACATCTTTATTATTCTGCTCCAGTGATATTAGGAGAAAAAAAAAAAAAAGAGAGAAAAGGGAAAAGCCAATTCCTTACATCAAAATACTGGGACATGATACAACTCAGCCCTGAAAAAAAATCATGCTTTGAAAGAGGGTGGGGAGAGGGAGTTATTTTTGTGATTTGTGCCTTGCAGCCAAACGTGAACGACCCTGAGGAAAGGCTGTGCAGACAAGTCACCGGGAAGATTTAGTAACTGCAGCATGTTAGATCTGTCCTCCCCCCAGCTTCTCTGAGTTATTGCTCTGTGAACTGAGGAATTTTGGAGCAAGGGTTAATCTCGACTAAAATCCATCATAAAGAGTGCTACAGTGTTGCTTTTTTTATTACAAGTAGCCAAAGTGGCTTTGAAAAAATATAACTGTGTAGAACAACCAGTCGACTGTACAGTGCATCTTACAGGACACAGCCCAGAAAATAACATTAAAGAACC